GTAACCATCCATCTGGTTAAGTATTCCACACAGGATTACAGAGAGAGAGAGAGAGACAGAGAATTTGGTTTTGTTATAAAATTTGTATGTTCAAGTCCATATCTTTGATTAATGAATTCTCCCTTTCTCCGTAATTGTGTCGCTCAAAGTCATTAACTCCACCTACAGTAGTTAGCTCCATGCTGTTCCTTGTCAGGGCTAACCGACGTACTATATCTACGTATATTATCAGAATAATAAACCACGCCTCCTCACTGTCTATACTGCGTGATGGACGTGTTTTAAGTCTCTAGATCAAACCCAGTGACAGGCTGATCCGTCAAAGGAATCCCTGAGAAAGTTCAGACAAAAACAAACAACAAATCCCGTGGCTTGAGTCCGCAAGCGAACTATACCGACCGAGCGACCACCCTCGCCGGGGAAGTTAGTGCCAAATTTAGGGGATAGAGGGTGTCGCGAGGTCAGCCCAAAGAATCCCCACGGCCGTTAATTTCGGTTTTATAGATCGGAGCCGCTATTTCCTTCAAATAGCCCCTCAATTATCCTCATGAGTCTGAGTGGACCCCATTCCATACCCACTAATTCTCAGAAAATGTGGTAGCACCGGGAATCGAATCCGAACATCTGACCACTAGACCACAGAGGCGGTAACTTCAGACAAGAGCCAAGTAAATACCTTAAGAGATCACAATGTCTGCTGTGGCGATTGACGAAGTATTTCTCGTTAACCTTGGGGCTTCTGAATGGGAGGTCCCAGGATCTGATGTCTAGCAGTCCTTTACACACGAAGTGGGATATTGCTGCTGTATAAAGGCGAAATAATTGTAGGCTCACGTTTCCTTTCACTTGGACTTAACAGCCTTCCTGAGATGCCGATCAACCGTGTATGGAACCGAAAATTGCATTACATTGCTCATGAGAGCACGTCACTGGGCCCTATCCTGAGGCAGTTGAATTTAGTCCAACACCTAAAATAATACCTCTTTAAGATTAATTTAATTTTATTGTCCTGCATCTGCCAAGATCTCCGAAGTGGTATTTCCTTTCAAGTCTCCCAACTAAAATTCTGTATGCATTTTTTATAAACCCGACTGGTTTTACATGTTCCACCCATTTCATTTTGCTTGATTCCTTACTCTAAACAGCAGAGCGATTATTAGCCCTTCAAGGAGGGTTCTGCTCCATTTCATTAGTTTGTTAATTAATTAGTTACTAAGTTAATTATGGAATTTGTATTAATATTGTAGTTAATTTGAAGAAATATTAGTTTGCTGTGTTTAGTAAGAACAAGTAATTTGTGCGTTTTTTTATTTTCCACATTACGAAGATAAAGTGGAACATTCTTTATATTTATTGTGTCTAATGTGGCTTTTATTACAAGTCTAGTTTTCAATTAACTGCGAGATAAGCTGTAACTTACGTGTTCAGCATAACTGTGATGGTGTTTTGTCCTAAAGGAGCGATTATGGACCATGGATCCTTGAATTACTGATCTTCCTATGCGCACCTCATACCCCATACGTCGCTCTTTCTTGTTAAGTTGTTATTACAACATTGTTTTGCAATAGCCTCATCACAGAAAACAGAAGAAAATTACTATCGGACCGAGGAAAACTAATGAGGCGCTTATCTGCATAGAATTTCCCCGGATTAAGTAGTCTTAAGGTCATTAGGAAGAGTGAGTAATGCCCTCAGACTTAATGCTGTATCCCAGATATCTCAGATAATACTCGTATTGTATCCCTACTGATTTCAGGGGCGTTTTCGCTTTTAATCCTACCTAAACTACGAAGTTTGTGCGTGGTTTCGATGTTCTCTGTTTGTATTGATCTTTGTATGCATATTCACTGAAGATCCGAATTCCCATTTGTGTGACTATACTCGTATTTAAAAATGGAATAACATACTATGAACAGTAAAATAAAGCTAATACCCTCCACCCCTTTTTAATATATTCAATGAATGTAACTCTGAAACATGTGTACTCGCAGGCCGGATTTAACATTTGGTTTTGACGAACTTGGTTCGAGACCCTTTCGTTCCATTCGTAATTTTGTGTAGATACAGGCTACTCCAACGAGTTTTATTTTGTCGCAGTTATTCCCTTCCAAATCGTATCTCTGATTCGTGCTACATGTATCGGTAATCTCATCTGTCTTGACATCATTAACGTAATTGCATTAAACTAAGATTAAACATTACCATCCTCTTCATTAGCATATGTAATTTTTTACATTTTCTTTGTTAACTTCTTGTCTTACGTTCAAGCGTTTTTAATACTTTTCCTTGGAATTTTTCACGTCATCAAAACATTATTATGTTATGTATTTATATTGCCCTTTTTACTTCCTTTTCTACAACTTTGGAGCCCAGGGATGATTTCTCAGTTTCTTGATCATTCTACCGACGGTAGGACTCCTTGGACGGGTGATCAGCTCGCCGCAAGGCCTCTACCTAAACACAGGACAACACGAACACAGAATAAACGCATACACACACCAAACATCCATGCCTTGTGTGAGATTCGAACCCACGGTCCGAGCAAGCGAAGATAGTACATGCCTTAGACCGCTCGGCTACCGTGACCGGCTATATTGTCCCTAAAGTGGACAAATTATCATTTCGTACTCAATCTGAATTAAGTTTTCTGATAGTAACAGCAAAAAAAAATCTATTCTACAAATTATGCTTCTGTGGGAAACGTTCTGTCACTCATACGCACTTGCGATGTAAAAGTTGTATCTGATACGTACAGAAGATAAGGTACATATTAGTTAGCTTCAGTTCACACAAGCAATACACTTTCACAAATATGTGCAGTATTGTTACAGATCTGGTGATCAAATTACATCCTTATGTTCAAAACGGCTTGCTTATTATTTTTTAAAACATCCATGAGTCTTCCAGGCTTGGCTCCTACAACATTTCTCTTTCAAAATTCCCACCAGGAAATTGTTCTGTGTAAGTTTCATTAAAAATGTAATGGAATTACAAAGTCTAAGCTAACTGCCTTCATAAAATGGATTTTTGTATGTCTCATAAACTTTCAAAGTTAATTGTATTCTTTGTTATTAGAATGTTCTCAAAAATTAACTGCAATATTATTACAGAAAGTCTGATATACCATCAGTCTTTTGTAAACAAATTTCGGGTTAATTAACTTTGAAATACAAGTAATTTCTCCTTTCTTCTGAAAGTGACAAAGAGATATTTATGGTTACATTTCAAAACAATTCTTTACTTCGATGAATAAATTCACAGGACGCTTTCAAGTGGGACAGATCTTATGCAATTAACATAGAATAACTTACACTGCATATGTACACGCTTTCCCTTACAGGGGTGAAACAGAAGTCATAAAGCTTAGTTCCCTTAAAAAAACTGTAATGAAATATTAATATTCAACACTAAGAACAACTGAGATAATTTGCCAGGCCGGCAAAAATGTCTTGTAAACCTGTGAGCTATATTTAGATACAGGAGTCAGGATATAAAAAAAAACACTTCTGTCAAAAGATTCCTTGTTTTTGCTAATAAATGGAAATCTTCGGGCCGGAGATAGGGACTAGCTCTATCGATTGGGCCCAACTGAGTAGGTTTTACCTGAAGACGGAGAAAGACTCCGGTCTCCGAAACGTTGTGTTTTGAGAAATAAACATAACGGTTTTTAGATAAAGACAGGACGATGGATAATGTCCAGAAACATATTTACACTAATGTACCGTCGTCACAAACTTCTAGATCTTATTACAAATTTTAAATTTTAAACATATGTGTACAAGTATACATGTAACTAATAGGCAACTCCTATGAAGCTCGGGGTTTAAGCTCTATTGTGAAGCTTCTGTATTAAACCTCTTTTCACATGCAGAGGATGGTTCGATTTGAAGTTGAGATATTGGCCAGAGTGGGTAGGGTTTCTACAAACTTTAGTGATCAAAGTCGTCCAGTTCTTGACGAACACAACATCCAGATAACAAATCGCAGTGACACTACTTCCATAGCAAATTTGATGGGGGCCTTAAATTATTTTGGTGGGTGGAGAAATTTTCTAACCTCTCTAGGCCATGAGGCCAGACCATAAACGTGTCATCAAAATACCGGACTACAGCGATGGTTGTTACATGAAATATTCACTTCCTTCCCTGTCATAGTTTCAGCTTTAAGCACGATTGAACACAATTTTTGTTGTAAATTTATCCTGTTATTTCCCATTGATTTAGCCTAATCTCAGGTATTAATACAGATGTAGCTATACCTCCATAGTTTTCCCAGTGATTGAGGTTAGCTCTTGCTAATGGAACCAACAGAGAAAATGTCTCCTCACCTGAGGGCGAACAGATCCAGTTTCCGAAACGATTTTGTTTGTTTTTTGTTTTTGTTTCTTTTTAGAACACCAAACGATGTACAAAGTCCAAAACCCAATAATCCTGAGTGTTATGCACCATCGTCAGAACCGTTCTGAATATAAAAGTGACATAGGAACGGAAGAATAGGTGGAGGTAACTGATTTAAATCGAAAGAGAAGGAGAGATGGAGGAAGGGGGAAGAATTACAGGGATTGGATAGTAGTGAGAGAGAAGGAAGTACATAAGGATGTGAATGAGATAAAAGAAATCAAGTGAGAATTTAATTTTCCCCACGTTATTTAGTGGTAATATGCAAATAGTAGCTACAGGAAAATAACTGTGCGAATTTGGGGCCATTAGGCGACCTGGAGCGGGAAATGTTGCCGGTCATGGTATCCACGCGGTCTAAGATATGAACTGGTCTTCGATTGCTCCATTCAAAGCATGGATGTTAGGTGCGTGTATGAGTTTATTCTGTATGTTTTTCTGTGTTTAAGTAGCGGCCTCGAGACGGGCGGATCCCCCATCCAAGGACTCCTACCGTCTGTGTGAGAATAATTATCGTACTTGATTAAGAGGCCAGGGTCCTGAATGGGCTGGAAGTGCAATTGTAAAAAGAAAAACAAAATTGACTGTTAAGTAAGTACTTACTTAATTCGCTGACTATTCAAATAAGAAATATCGTCCATTTCATCATATCTGAAAAATAAATCACGCTTTATTAGGAATTCATTCATTCATTCATCAGTAATCTGTCAGACGACAGGTCCACAGTCTCTTCCAAAACAGTTCCACTTAAGGCGATCTTCTGTTTTTGGAAAGAGACTATCCAGGAAAAGTTTATTAGGAATATAACAGCAAAATTAATCTATTATTCATTAGTTCAACAATTAACATAAATATCGCTACAATACGAGAAAAAACTGACCGCTACACGTAGAATTAAAAAAGTTGTAAGTTAAATTGTTATGTTTAAATTCTAATGTACACCTGTTCCCTCCTGTGGCTGTAAAATCTGGCCTCTTACTGTAAGGATGCAGGCAGAGTCTAACTCATTAAAATTCAGTAAAGTGAACCCCACATGTTTTAAGTAGAAAGCCTAAATACACCAATCTATGTCACATTACATGAATCCAGTCGATTCCCTTAAAGCTGAGCCGAGCCTTTGCAACACCTACGTGTCTCACACAGGATTCGATTCCACTAAACTCGGTTCGATTAATTTGCCTGTAACCTACTACAGTTACACAGAACAAGACGATGAATAATTGGGCTAAAGATAACTGTGCCGGTCACGGTAGCCGAGCGGTCTAAGGCATGTACTGTCTTCGCTCGCTTGGAAACCGGGATCGTGGGTTCGAAACCCACTCAGGGCATGGAAGTTTAGTTTGTGTGTGTGCGTTTTTCTGTGTCTGTGTACAGGTAGAGGCCTTGCGACGAGCTGATCACCCGCCCAAGGAGTCCTACCGAATGTGTAAGATCAAGAAAAACCGAAGTGAACGGAGAAGTTCATGGAGGTAGGCCTAGGCCAACTTGGGCTGTAGTGCCAAGGGGGAAAGAAAAGAGAGAAAGGAATTGACATGATTACATAGGAAGACGCGAAAAATGAAATTTTATAAATTTTACATTTTACAAGGAATTATTATATTCAGGGTGTTGACGAGAATATTTGGACCGAAGGGAGATGAAGTGACAGGAGGTTGGAGAAAACTGCATAATGAGGAGCTTCATAACTTGTACTCTTGGCCAAGTATAATTAGAATCAAGTCAAGGAGGATGAGGTGGGCATGGCATGTAGCACGAATGGGGGACAGGAGGACTGCATAGAGGATATTGGTGGGAAAGCCAGAAGGAAAGAGAGACCACTGGGAAGACCAAGGGGTAGGTGGGTGAACAATATTAAAAATGATATTAGAGAGATAGGTTGGGATGGTATGCGTTAGATTGATCTGGCTCAGGACAGGGACTAGTGGAAGGCTCTTGTGAACATGATAATAAACTTTCAGGTTCCATACAATGCTGAGAAATTCTCGAGTAGCTGCAGATTTGGCTTCTCCTCATGAATCAGGAGGAGATAAACTGGGCTTACAACAATCAAATGAGCACATAGAAAACGGAAATACATGAAACAAAGGAACTCCTGCGAGATGTACACGTAGTTGTAGATGAGAAGGTAATGCTAAAATGAATACTGATAAATTATTGTAAGAATAACTGTGACCATTCTATGAATATTGCCCATAATCTTGATCTTCTTCAGCACGCAATTATCAGTGTGGACCGGAATCATCTCTCTCAAAATTGCATACAGTTGAAAACATTTTGTCACATCTACTAGTGACTGTAGACGGGTTTTGCTTTGGTAAATAGATTTATTGGCCACTTACAGGTCGTAACTACAAATAACTATACTACTATTGCTGATTTCACACCACAAATCACTCCACACTAAGTCTCCTCAGCCTATTCTCACTGGTCTTTACTCTAGCTCCACTTGTCTTCAAGATAACTCCTCGGCATGGACCTCGCAGAAAACACAGCCTCTATTGTTACGAGGAGTGTTTACCGTGCCGTTGTATAGCAACGGATATTACCCGATTTAAACTTGCGTATTCGTTGCCTCTGTAATATATTACCCATTAGTTGCCTAGCAGTGAACGTCTATTCTTACTTCACTATTCCGGCTTTAAGGCGTCATGTCACAATATTAATAATTTCAGGGTTCCAAAATTGCTGGAGATTTTTGGTCAGCTCAGCGACTATTAGATCCTCAAGTACGACTTGTTAGTTTATAGTGCTGAATAATATTGAATGCAGAATGGGCGTTACAGGCTGTTTGAGAGTGACAGTTTCAATGGGCTTTTCCACCGAAATATCGGTTTTATTTTGAATTTCTGTCAGCTAAGAAATATGTTCACCATCGCGCGTTCTTTTACGAATGAATGTAGGCTGCTGCACATGGATCAGTGACACAGACACGAGGCACTGAGATGACACTTTCTCATTACAAACCCAAATAAACTTGAATCCAAGGCAGTTATTTAGGTGACATACTGACAACGAGAATGTTTACGAATAAAACGTACTTAAGATAAAGAAAGCTGTAAGGTTAGAATTTATAAGCTGTTGATTTGTAATACTGGTAAAATTCCTTTTAATTAAATTAATCATAGAAAGAACAAGGATGTAAACGCTTACCCAACACTAAAAGTTTCATGTTTTAGGTATTTTCTGATTTGTGGCATACGCTAGAAAGTAACATTGTAAACATCAGCCGTCTCTATGTATATAACAACAATAGAGGAAGTATCAAGATATCGTACGTGACGTGTACAGCCGTTGCTATGTAGCACCCGCAGCATACGCGTGCCCGGTGAGGTAACAAAACAATAGAAAAGGTGATGCAGGCAGGTGTTCTCTACTTGTCCGCTTCGAGGCTCTATGACTCGACCGACTGTTTTCTGTTGGGCTACTGAATGCATTAAGTTGAGGCTTCAGTTGTTGAGTGTTAACCAGTAGGCTACGGAAGCGGAAGAATCTCCATTGTTAAAAATCGTTACCAGAAAACGTATAATGAAAACATTGCAGAGGAACAGCCATTGTGGAGAGCTGTTACCATATAGAGATTAGTGAAAGTAGACTGAAAAGATTGAGTGTGGAATGATTTTTCATGTGGAAATCATCAATAGTGTTACAGTTCTTTCTAATTACGACCTCTAAGTGGTCAATAAATCTATTCTCCAATCCAAACCCCGTCGATAATAACAAATACACGTGGTACAGTCATTAAGTTCGTGGACTGTTGATTTATATCATCATACTACAAGGTATTCACATACTTATGCAGATCCACATCAGCCCTCAAAATAGTCGCCGTTGGCCGCTATGCAAGTCTTCCAACGTTGTTATAGCTGCCGAAAACACTGCTGAAACATATTGGCAGGAAATTCCCCTTGTGGCAATGACCACCTCCTCGGACGACTGAAATCTACGACCACGCAGCTTTGCTTTCACGCGGTGAAAGAGAAAGAAATCGCACGGTGCCAGATCAGGTGAGTACGGAGGGTGTGGCAAAACGGTGACCTGTTGCCTTGCCAGTTCCTCTTGGGCAAGAACAGAGCGATGTGCATGGGCGTCGTCGTGTAGCAACAGCCAATTCTTCCTACACCAAATGTTTCGCTAGGGGATTTGCCTAGTTTCTGGCAGAACTTGGTGTTTGCCCGTTGTTCAAACTGCCACATCTATTTCCGCCACTCGCATTTAACTACAGTTCACAATAGAGGCCGTAATTCTGCTTACACTGTTTGCACACAACTGCCTCTTGCTGTGACGAGAGATGAACTGACAGGGCATCATATCGTGCCTCAACCTATCCGCTATAGTGCACTGCAAGATACTTTGCTACCAGTCCACGAAATTATTGATTATGGTAGTATGTGACAGTATGAATTATCAAGCAAGTTTCTTTCATTTTTGAGCCTCTGCAGATGACCCGGAAAGTCCCAAACATGAAAGGCAATATAAATTATTGGATTATTTATATTAAAGTTGTTTATGCTGGATGGCTTGTCATTTAAGGATTCTTAACTAATATTTTATTTCTTAGTTATTTTCATTCGTAAGCATTGTAAATAAATGCTTTTATGCAGTTACATAATTTTTAATTATCATTCATTAACAGTAATATCACCATTTTTAATCTCCTGGTTCTTTACCCGGGAAAGAAATAATGCAGCAAGTTATTTAAACTTTAAAATACTGTAGTGGATCAGAAGGTACAATTACTTATTATCACTATTTTTATTATTATTATTATTATTATTATTATTATTATTGTGTCAACTGAAGGAAGACAAATGTTCTGAGTTACGAGTATTAGCTTTGTGATGCTGACATTACAAGTACCGGGGCAGTTTGTTTCCTCCATTCCTCCTCTGTAATTTGTCTTTGATTTTATGTTGAGTCTCTACATAATGTAACTACTTGTATCTACACTGTGCTATGTCTGTAAATGGTCTTGTAGCTGTTTACTCGGCACATAAACAATAAAGAATTGAATTGAATTGAATTATTATTAAACATTTAACATTAGTAATGTCTTAAGACTTGCCCTTTAGCAACGTGTGTCACAGCTGCAAACAGCATCTGCAGATCTCAGGATTTTGTCAAAAACATAACCCTTCCTTAGAGGTTAATTTTTCCTTTCTTCAATCCTATTTTTATTGACGTGTTAACTGTATTGTTAATATCTCGTATTTAACTTTTAGGGTAGTTTACAGTCCAGCTTTCGTTGTGTATANTTTGTATGTAATGTAATTCAGTCATCTACACTGTGCTGAGTCTGTAATTGGCCTTGCGGCTGTTGACTCGGCACATTAATAATAAAGAATTGAATTGAATTTCATTATCATCATCATTATTCTTATCATATGAGAAGTTTGAAGGAGGAAGGCACTAACATTTGATAGGTGCCTGGCAGAGGCAGATTAGATATTTGTGCGTGTTTCAAGTGCCTCAATCTTTCAAAGACCATATGAATTTAAGATAGAAAATGCATTTCTGGTCCAGCACACAGACAAGAGAATGTCAAGAGTGTATAGCCACTTATGCAATAGCCACTTCAAGACTGACATATGCCATAACCTTTACGGATCTCAGATATGGTCCTTGAAAAAAAAAAGTAGAGCAGACACGTGTAT